ATATACTACTAACTTAGAGGGCCCATTTTTTTGTTTTATTTCTAACTAAAGTCTCTTCCACTTTCCTCTTTTTTGTCTTATTTCTGAATAAAGCCCCTCACTTTCGGTGAAGTGAGAGGGTAGCTTTTCTATTTTTAAATATTTGTTGTATATATATATAGCTTATTTATTTTATTAATACTTTGATGTATATATATATATATATATATATATTCCTTTTTCAAATATTACTATATATAATTATTACTATACTATTTTTTTCCTTATCTTATTTATTTATTTTATTTTTTCCCTTTTATTTTATTCTCTTTATCTTATTTGTTTTCATTACCTTGTTTATCTAACATATTTCTCGATTTTTTAAGGATATTTTCAAATAAATCTAAGGTAAGTAATCAGGATCAAATTTTATCTTTTTATTTAAAATTACAATTTTCTTAATTTAAGACAACTAAAAATTATGTGGTACCGAAAGGGTGGTTCAAGGGTGCTAATCCTTCCTTGACCGTAACCGACTCCCGAACTCGACACGTTTCTGGTACAACGCAGATCAGGTAAAATGGTGTCTGACCCACCTAAATTCGTTTTAAAGTGTTCGGTGGCGACTCCAATCCACATTTTCCTAAGTCGAAACCCAATTTTGTGGCCCAACTGAAAGACAGTTGCGACAACTTCTAATTTATCAACATGACCAAGCCTTGAAAAAGAAGACCAGAATAGCAGAAGACTTGCAATGACTTTTTGAATGGAATCATGGTATTATTTTGTCGACATGTCTTCTAGAGTTACGACCGACTATCTCTTATCTTTCCAACGGTTCTTTAATTGCATCAATATGATATTGGAAACTCAAGATACACTCATTTTAGTGAAGATAGGGCATGCAGAAATTTCTATACGGGTTTAATACGAGATTTTATAAATATTACGAATTTTAAATATTTTTATTTATTATTTGTAATATAATTTAATATAGGATGATGTATTATCTTTTTAAGATTATATTTATTATTTTAGGAATTAATATCAAGTTAAAACATTCTTCTTAGTTTATTATTATTTATTAGGAATTAGAATTAGAACATGTTTAGTTTACTTTTATTTGTATCCATTAGCTATTTAGGGCTTTTAGAACTCCTCCCCTATGTATATATAAAGGAGGCTTCATTCAATTTTGTAATCACATCTTTTCTTGAATATCATACATTGAGAGTCTATCTTTGCAAGTGTTGATTAATTGTGCCTTCTAAGCTTCTTTTAATTAAGTTATTTTCAAGTTCTTTGTGAAAGAGATCTTCACACTCTGATTTCCCTCTTCATTGTGATTAGGAGGGTTGGTTAGAGCCATTTATCGATTTTGCCTTTTCATTGTGACTAGGAGGGTTCAATAAGATAATTATCCATCTATTTCCATCATATCCATCTTCATTATCAATATCATCTACTCCACCATCTCCACGATTTGGCCATAAACCCTAATTTGACTAAGTTATTCTATCTTTATCAATTCTTTACTTTATGTTCATCTTCCTTTTTTTTATTAACCTATAATCTTAGTCTTTATTTCCTTAATCTTTATTCTTGATTTTCCAGCAACTCTAAACCTTATATTATCCATCTTCCACAACTCCATCATATTCCTCTTTCATTCAAATCCTTCCGCTTTCTTCATCGAATTTAAAGCTTTCTAAGTTTAATTCCTCAACAATAGCAACAATCATTCATCCGCTGCCACATTTTTATCACATAATCTACTACTCATATTGATGCTACATTGTGAGTTTCTTTGGTATTAGTTTATTTTTCTTACAAGATGAACATAAGACTTTGAGAGTTAATATTTAAATTTTTATGGTAAAAATTTAATCGGATACGTTAACCAGACAAAAGATGGCGTCTTTCTTGTTTTAAGGTTTAATATCTAAATTTTTATGGTAAAAATTATTTTCTGTTTTCAATATATTTTGAATATTTTTTTAACTTTTACATCATCGTTAATGTTATTATTGACATTTGCCACAATCTTAAAGTATCTCGGTGTTAAAAATATTAGAATAATTAATTCAATAAAAGTTTAAATTTTAAATTATAATAAAATCTTTAAATAATAAGTTAAGAGTGTGGGAAGTTAAGATATCAAATAGATATTTAAACTTTAAAATAACAATGGGCAATGTGCATGGATCATGCTCACGTCTAAAATTTTTTTAGAACCTGATCTCTAATTGATCTTATCTGTGGACACCTTTATTTTTTAACTATATGAATTACATAAATTTTAATAAAAATTTATATTTTATAGTGAAATAGATAATTTATGTGAGTTAGGCATGATTCTTAGTTGTGACAAATCTATTCTCAAGTACTATCACTTAAACATTCTCTTCTTCAACATCATTAGATCGTACGAAAGTTTACTTTATATCGTAAGAAAGTTTAAAATACAACTTGAATGAAGGATCTAGAAATTTTTTTTGGAGGGTGCACAAATATATTAATAATATAAAAAAATTATACGATAAAATTTCAGGATAGATACCACAGAATTTTAGGGTGAGCACACATATATTAATGAAAAAACCTTCGAATTTTACAGAAGAAAATTCAGTGTGGGCATGTGCCCACCCTAAGATCAATATACATCCGTCACTGAACATGTTAATATAAAGTTAAAAAAAATTACAATAAATTGTAATAGAAAAATTTAACAATTGTATAACTCTTTAAAATAAGGTTTAATACAAAAATATGTGTCCAAATTATATCTCAAAATATGATTTGGTGTCTAAAAATTTTCACTAAAATTAGGTGTTTAACGTTTTCTCTGTTACATTTTTAAGCGCTTACCTTTATATTTTAAAATTTTTAATAATAAAAGTATTCTTTTTTTCAAAATAAAAAGAAAAAATTAAAAAAATAAATCATCTTCCCCTCATCATCACTCTCCCTCTTGTCGCCTTACCTCCAACGACGAACAGTCACCATCATTCAGGTATTGTTCAAAACACGACGAAGGACACAACGATGGCGGTTGTATATCATACGAACGATTGTGGGTGTCAACAATGACGGCCACAGACTGATGATGGCCGAATGACAATGAAAAATGTAAGATTTAGGGGTTTTTTTTTAGTTTCTTAATTATAATATTAATTTTTTAAATAAATAATTTTTGAAATTTTATATGTGTGACACTTGTCAAATAACGACTAAATTTAACGGTCCTTACGGTTCAAGCACCTAAAAGTATAACGTAGAAAATGTTAGGCAAATATTTTTAATGAAAAAAAATTTAGACACCAAATCATATTTCGAAAAAATTGGATAAAACTCATATAATATTCTCGATGATTATAAGAATTATTACCAATCATATCAGTAAACTAAAAGGAGTTTGAAAATCCAAGTTAGATTTTGAGAGAGAAGTTTCAAAAGGCTTTGCATTAATTTTTTTTAAGGGTAAACTACTTGAATGATCATTAAGTATGGGGTTGGTATCAAAATGATTATCATTTTTAGATTTATGTTAATATGACTATTGAACTATTTAAACGAATTCAATATAGCCTCTAACCGTTAAAACTTAACGAAAGGGTTTATATAATTATACAGTATTGCATGTCATAACGTGATTGAAGAGTTTTTTTTTAATTAAGTGAAATTTCCCACCAATCTTAAGTGAAATTTCCCACCAATCAGGTGGTAACACCCAAGCATTAGAGAAATTGTGTTGCTTGTGGGAATTGATCCCAATTCCTTGGATCAAGGGTGAGCATGCCTAAAACATTTAACCAATCCCAATATTTGTTTTTAGTTTGTCAAAAGTTTTATCTATCTTGTTTTAAATTTTATATAAACAATGAAATTATAATATTCTAAAAAATAAATTATAGAATAAATTATTGAATGACCAAGCGAATAATATTCTAATAAATAAATTATTGTTTAACTGTAAAAATGAATTTAATTTTTTTATATTTTTAAATTAAATTAATTTTTACAAATATTTTTAAATGAGTTTAAATTATATATTAAGATTTTAAGATTTTTTTTATTCATTTGAATTTTTTAAAAGTTACATTAACTAATAATTTCAAATGAATAACAAGCACCCGTAAAAAAATTAAATATGTAATTTAAACTCATTTAAAAGTAATTGTAAAAAATAATTTAATTTAAAAATATAAAAAATAAATTCATTTTTATTTTTAAACTTTGCATTAACTAATAATTTATTTATTAGAATATTATTTAGATAATTATTCGAGTAGTTTATCCTATAATTTATTTATTAGAATATTATAAGTTTTTGTTTATATAAAATTTAAAATAAGATAAATAAAGGTTTTGACAAACTAAAAAAATAACTTGGGTTTGACTTAATGGTTCAAGCATGTTCAACCTTGATCCAAGGTCCTGGGATTACTTTCCATGAGTAGTGTTTTCCCTTAAAATAGGTGGTGAATGATTGGTGAGAAAATTTATTTAAATAAATTATTAAAATTAATTACAAAAACTCTCTAATTAGTTTTGACACATGTCACTATTAAAATTGTCTCAATAATCAATTGTCACATGACACATTCTAATTGAAAGATTAATTTTTTATATTAAATTAAAATTAGGGCTAAATTAATAAAATATGTAAATACTGAGGAACAACTGTACAATTATATAAATTTCTGTTAATTACCACATTACCTCTACGTTAATTTTTAACAGCCAGTGGTTATATCAAATCCATTTAAATAGCTCAATAATCAATTGACGCAAATTTGAGGCTCATTCAAGTAATTTACTCTATTTAAAAAAACTATGGAGATTTTGTATAATTTTAAACGTTAAAAAAAGTTAACAGCCGAATATCTTGGAAGAGCAAATTTTAAAACCTAAACATCAAATTAAAAATTTTAATAATAAAAAGAATGGAAAAGAGCTTTTCCATTAACTTAGTAGAAGAATAACTAAAATATATTATAAATCAGGCTAAAGAAAATGTCTCACATAACACAGCTGATGGGATGACAAAGGTTAGTAGTAATATTCCCTTCCCTAGTTCATGCAACTTATACGTCAGCTTGTAACTCAGAAAATGACTCAACAAAGGATGCCTTGTATGAAAATGCAAAACCCTCAAAACTATGGGCATAATCCACGATTTACCCCCTCTTTGTTTCCAAAATATGTTTTACCATTCACTGCCTTGACATAGACCTCTTCCCTCGTTGCCGCTTGCAAGAATCGTCCCCGGCGGAGCTCTGTAATTTAGAAGCACCTGTACTACAGGCAACCTATACAGGGTCCTGTGATGCAGCTTGATCTACCCTCGTTCTGACTGGCCTTACAGGTGACTGCTGCTTGCAACTTAAGGGCTCATCTCCATTTGTTACATCCCCGTCTTCAGGGACCTTAGCAGCTTTCTGGAAAGCTATGTGGTCATAGGGGCTTCGTTTCACAAGTGATAAAAGGAACCTGCTCGGACTACGACTCGCATCTTCCATCCCTGGCATATGTTTATTGATATCAGTAGAATGCACCTTCGAAGTCGGAGAATGTACAGATTCTGCTGGCTCTGGGATGCCTGATAACCCATCGTAAGATAGAATGCAAGCTATCGCATATACAGATGCCCCAAGAGCAGGAGGAAGAACTTTGCCTGGATGATTTACCTTGAAAAGTCCATTGAAATATAAGAACAAGCAAAATGAACACATTTGAGGGCTGAACGAGTAAAAAAGTATTCTAGTGTTGATAAAAAAGGGGTGTGTGTGTTTTGGGGGGTTTGGGGGGGGGGGGGAGGGCGAGGGGTTAGGTGACCAAGGTGTATTTTAGCCCTTATGAGTGTAGTCAATGGAGTGCCTACCATGAATAAGATAGCTTCCGATAATCGCTCTCTCAAGCAGTAGATTTGAGCAACATCAAGTGCTGTTGATTTGAATGATAGCCACCGATCAACAACCACCATAACGGAATTATCGGGCGAGGACAAGACCTTTTCTTCTTTTCCACTGGACTTACTAACCGCAGAAATGTCTCCATCAGTATTGCACGCATCAACATCATCACTTCCATCATCATCGTCATCGCCATAATCTTCACCATAAACATTGCCTTTTATAGGAGCCACTGCAATCTCTGTAGCAAGAAATAACAATGGAAGTGGTCCAATAACAGTACAGTTTCTTATGAACACACCCCCATCCCCACGGGTTATTTCATCATACATAATCAAATAATCTGATTGCTTGGGTGATAACTTTGAATTAACTGAACGAGTGTTTAACCGAACTTTAGAGCCATTGGCAGCCTCTATAATCATTCGTTTACTCAGTTTTGGTGGGAGTACCCTCCCAGCCATTGGATACAAACCAGCCACAAGGACCGCATGGAGTATTCCACGGTTATTTGCATTTAGACTACAGCTAGAGACATTATCAGGAATAAATCCGTGCCGTATTAGTTCACCCTGAAGCTGCTTCCGCATGCCAAACAGCAAATTCATAGTGCTTGAAGAGACGAAGTATTGTGAACAAAAACGTCCTTCTAGACCCTTTCTTTTTGCATTCTTCCAGCACTCGAAAGCAGCTATGATTGCCAGCTGATCACTTTGGCCACCATACAGTGCTGCAAGCTCATGCCTGGCAGCAGCAGCCTTCTGCCTTTCATTCGGTCGCATGGGAAGGACAAATGGATCCTTGAAGTCTGAAGCACATGCTAGTGTCAAAGCTGGACCAAGGCAATTCATCAATATCGCAAAGAAAAGCATCTTGCATGTCAATGGATGAACAGGAAGATAACCAAGCTTCTCTCCAAGTTCCGTCAGTTCCTCATCTTGCGGAAATGCCCCAATATCTTGAAGCACTCTAACTGCATTACGTACAGCTTCAGAAACAGGAGGGTCCAATGTCTTTTGCAAGAAGTCCTCTACTTTACAATCCGGGTCAAGCAATTTCACCTACCAATGCGAACAAAATCATGCAATAAATTGTTACATTGACGGTATTAGTAACTCATCAGAAAGGAGACAAACAAGGTTTCTGATGGGGTTCCTTTTTAGCAGATATTCCCCCATCTTGAAGAGTACAAGTCAGAGAGGTGAACAACCAATCGTATATACCTTGAAAACAACCAGAAAATACACTCAAAAGCTATAGTATTAACAAACCCTTAAAACTCCATAGTGAAAATCTTTGCAATGCAGTTTATGTTCAAAATTGAAAATTTGAAGGAGAAAAAATGAAAACCTTCATCTTCTGCGTCCTTAAACTTCTCAAGTATCTTGGTTATTCGGATTACAGAGGTTTCCTCTATGGGGGTCTTCTTCTTTCCCATTTTTGAATTCCCCCCCCCCCTTTTTTTTCTCTTTGGACTCTAGTAAAATGCAGAGTAAAAAAACAGGAAAAAGAACGAAGGAAAGTAAGCAAAAGAGATGTAAGGTAGAGGCGCCTCTTGTATTTTGCCTGTTTTGGGTTTAGGTTTGACTCGTGATAGTTCAAAAGCCGTGTAAGAAGGAAAGGAAGAGGCTGTCTAAGCTAAAAGCTTGAATAACATAATAGGTAAACTGCGAATAGTCCTTTGTTTTTGATGTCATCGATTTGGTCATTGGTAAAAATAAATGGCCAACTTTTATATTATTGATCTATTTAATTTAAGTTCCTCAACTTTTAATTTATTAATAGAAGTATTACGTGATAATTTAAATTAATAAACAATTTCACATAACTAATTGTAAGTGATGTGAGAATAAAAACTTATTAAAAATAAAAAAATTTCAATAACCTTACGTCGTCGTCTTCTTCTTCTTCTCTTCTTTAATACAACCTCGGCTAAAAGAAAATTAAATGATTCAATAGGCATAACTGCAAAAATTATGTGATCCATTTAAAATAGCTAAGCTCTTAGACAATCTCAAATATCGGAGAAAACGCCACCATGGTCTTCGTCTCGTGGAACAGTAGCGGTAAGTCTAGTGGGAGAGTGATATGTTGGTTTTTGTACAAAACATAAGCTTACAACTTGTCGTAAAAGGATGGAGACTCTTATGTCAGAGTTTCGTGTGACTATGGTGAATTGCATGAAAGTGGAACTGAAAGGTTGGGAGGTGGTGTTGAGTTGGTAGATGACGACGTTTACGACGATGAAACGAGGCTTGTGGGGACGATAGATGAGCCATAAGGAAAGTGCAATGACAATTAATAAGAGGAGGAAATGAAAATGCAGAAGTCACAAGAGTGTCCCCCGCCTCCTCCATGGCTTTGTTTTGGTGACTTGTGCTTACGTTCTTTTGGCATTTTTTTTCTTGGTCTGTCATGAAAATCGAAGGTATTTGTAGTGTAAAATAGATGGAAAGTGAAAAAAAAGAAGGTTTTGGGTGGTAAATGGCGATGACTAGGGACGGAGCCAGATTCTAGTTCGAGGGGGTAAAATATAATTAATAATAAAAAATAAGAAGGGTAAAATCAAAATAAATCAAAAATTACAGGACCAAATAGGTAGTTGTCCCTATATATTTTCAATGATAAAAAAATTAGGTGGCAGTAGCCCCCAAGCTAATGAATAGCTCCGTCCCTGGTGATGGCTAATGACAAATTTGAAAAGAAAGAAAGAATAATATATTATTTGTTACATGTAAGAAATTGAACAAAGTAGTGAAGGATTGGGTCCATGGATGATTTCGGATGTTAAAATGGACTTTGTGTTTTGATAAAAGCAAATGAAGCTTGTGGGTGCTTTCTTTTTTGTTTTTAATTTTCATATATTAAGCTCCATTAAAACATCAGGACATAATTTAGTAATAACTAATGAGTATGGAAATCGATTGTAAGTTAATTCTATTCACATTGTGGAGTTATTCGCATCCAAACTCGTTTGCGAGAAGAAGACCACGGTGGTGTTTTTCTTCAATATCCAATATTGTCTCTAAGAGCTTAGTTGTTTTATATAGATCAAATAACTTTTGCAGCTTTGGCCATTGAATTATTTTAATTTTTTCTAGCTGAGGTTGTATTAAAATAGAATTTTTTTAATAAGCTTTTATTCTGACATCACTTACCGTTGTTGACTTGTGAGGATTTGTTTCTTATTTTTAAATTGCCACATAATACTTTCGTTAATGAGTTAACGGAAGTTAACGACTAGGCGACGTCACTTATCATAGTAATTTTTTAGTAATATAATTATGAGAATATAAAATATTTGCTATTACTTTTTGAAACAAAGAAATTAAGTTTTGTGGATTGATTTGGGTCATATTAGAATGATTTAGATAAAATAATCTTGAAATTTTTAATTTGAGACTTAATTGATCTTTTATTGGGAATAAGTTGGTTGTATATTTGTTGGCAGTTTTTAATCAAGGTGGAAAACTGCATTCGATAGATCTTTGTGATAGCTTGGAGGAGAGAAATAGTGTGGGAAATAAGATGAGTGAACTAGGTTATAGCTAAGAGAAAGTCTAAACCCTATTTCTCTGGATATAACTATCCCGATTGTAGGGTGGATGTTGTTAGGCTTAAGGTCATCATATATGTTAATAGGCTTGCAAGAGTTGTAGGTATGTTTATTAACTATCAAATTTAGCTATAAAAAGTCATATCAAAGATAGAAAAGTATGGACTCCAAAGAACAATATGTTGAACGGTGATTGTAACACCCGAAACCCGATTGGGCCTAAAGTGTCACATTGGGCTACCGAGGTAACCCTTAATTTTTAAAACCTGTTCATTTTCCTTTCAAACATACTGAATGGTATCATAATTAAAACATAAATAATGATTATAAAACATTTTACAAATCGGAGCTCAGTGACACGTGATTTAAACAAAATAATACATCTTAAGTTTACAACTCCAATACATAAGTAAGGTTCTATGAATACACATGCTCGCTAAATCTATAGTACAATACTCTATCAGAGATGCTAGAAGTCATGCGGCGACGATGCTCCACGAACTACTCAAGATACGAAAATGCCAACAGAAAACATTATAAGGTTGAGATTAAAAAGCCTAGCAGTATAATCGCTAATCTAAAGCAACATATGAATTTTACAAACACAAGCATGCTAAAGACATAATACTAAGCAATAGGTACAAGCATGATTCCAATCAATTCTATTTACGTAAGGTCCTCTAGTTCTATCTCTCAAATCTACGCCTCATGCTTCCCTTAGTTTTCGCTAAGGGCCCCGCTATGAGTATACAAGTACTAAGTCTCTAACCTCATTATCATTCTATAATGCATCACCATGCCAAACACAATGACGGTACCTGGTATCACAGAGACGTCGATACTATCACTTAACAATAAGTAAGCATCGTGGTATAGCTCTAGGTCACATAACATCACAAAACTCACATCTTTGTTTGCTTAATAGAGGTACCTTGGGTAGACATGGGTCACACATCATCAACATCTCCCAAGTATCTCAGGCGAGGTCTGGGTCACATAGCATATGCATCTCCCAAGTATCTTAGGCGAGGTTCGGGTCACATAGCATTGACACCTCCCAATACCTTAGGCTAGGTTCGGGTCACACAACATCGACACCTTGTCTGGCTAGTCTACTCCTCTTGAGTACTCGGAATGTGTCTGGGTCACATAGCATCAGTACCATGTCCAACTAGCGACTAAAGTGCATCTTGCACTGACTTGGATATATCTGAATATCCTATGCACTAAAGACGATTGTCCTACTGCTAAAGTTACTCGGGTGTCCTCATCATTTCCCGAGCGACACACAAAGGAATAAGTCTTATGAAATCTTACCTCATAAGGCTTTTATGGTTATCATACAATTAATGTTATTATCTCATTATTATTATAAGGCTCTCATCTTGAGTTACGCCTTAACACACATCAACTGATGCCACACTGCAGCAGGCGAAGTAGCTCAATCACTCGCTACTGAACTTATCAAAGTCAAGTGAGGTCATATCCCATTCACTTGAGACTATCGCGCTCGTCCTCTCGCCTAGGACGTTATGGGAGGGGTATTATTACTTATAGGGTATTTTGCAGTACACTGACTGATCCATTGGTTAGCCTGATACTTGACTCAGGCTTGTTACTGGGTAACAATACTCCTAAAGCTCTTATCATACTCTCTCAATACCCCTTGAAGTAGTGTGATGACTTATCCATTTTTGGTTCACTGACGTTCTTGAAGCACCACGCTCTTGGTCGATACTAAATATGACATGTTTATCGTACCGCTCATCGGGTATCTCATGTATTGATATATAATCCCAACCATCCGTATACGTCCTCGATTGAAGATACTCTAGTTTATTACACTTAATATGGTTACACCCGGTGTAACATACTCCTACAAGTGTTTTTAGGTATGTTGGGTCATTTATGTCCCTTAAGGACTAAGTCTTACTATTACGGATCATCCTAAGATCTTACGGACCTTAAACGGGTCAAAAGAACATTCAACAACAGTTAGGACCTTTAATTAATGCAAATCCATCCTTTTTCATCGAGCAAAACAAAGAATGGATCGATCTTTTCTCCTGAGGGATTGATCTTTTACTGGGCAGAAATTTTGGGATCGATCCCTTTGGCCAAGGAATCGATCTTTTGGGAATGACTTGCTTAAACTCGAGAATCACTCAAAAATCACTCCAAACGACATAGGTTGGTTTCTAAACTTATTCTAAAGTTTTAGTAAGTTATATAGGGTCATTAGGCATCATTAAAACATGTTATTAACACCTAAAATGTGATTTGGTTGAGAAATCAAAGATGAATCCTAAAATGCTCAAATCATCAAATCTTAACAAAAACCATGGATTTATGAAACCTTAATATTCCAAAGGATTATAAATACAATACCTTGATTTAGAAACCCAAAATGAACCTCTTTTTGCTATCAAGCACTCTCCTTTTTGAACTTGATTGATTTTTCACACTTTTTCCTCAAACCAAAGATTCTTAGAATAAGGTTGAAAGTAGGAAGATTATGGATGGATTTTTTAGAGGAGCATGGAAGAAGCCCTAAACACTTACCTTGAATTTGCCCTAGATATGGAGGAGGAAGAAAAAATAAATAAAGAATAAGATATGAGAAATGAGAAACCCTGTAATACCCAAAATTTTGGTTAGTGACAAAAATGTAAGTTTTGAAAGTTTATGGCCAGAGTATAAAATTGGGAAAAGTTTAGGGACATATGTGGTAATTTTCCCAAAATAATTTTTATTCCATAAATATGTAGTTTACACTTGAGAGTGGGGTTTTATTGAAATCAGATTCTTGATCTGGAATTTATGTTCAAAACTAGAAAGGGTTAAAGTCTGGTAAGAAATCGATAAATTAGATCGAACATAAA